ATTAGTATATAATACAAAGAGTATTTGAAAATATGGTGAATGCTTACATTTAAAACAATTCATTACAGTAAAAGAAACATTGTTAGCAATCCCTCTCACAATATTCCCCCCAACTTAAAACATATTTGTTCCGTCATCCTTGCCACTTTCTGAAGCAGTTCTGGAAGTCTTTTTTTTTTTTTGGACCAGGGATCGAACTCAGGTCCTTGCGCTTGTGCAGCAGGTGGCGAAACCACTGAGCTGAATCCCAGGCCCTGGAAGTCTTCTTTAATATCTTTACCAGATGTGCTTAAAAAAATATGGTGAATTCTGCTGTGAGAGACATCAGTGGAAAGGTAGGACAGCAAAAACATTACAGTGTGTCCTCATTCACCTTATTCACCAGGTCTCACAGGGTATGACTAATGGCTCTTTCCCAAAGTTAAAATGACTATGAAAGGTACATAGTTTGAATTGATTCAGGAACTCCAGACAGCCACAACAGTGCAACTAAAGATAGTAAAAAAAGTGGACTCCCAGAACTGCTTCAGAAAATACCAACAATGAGACAAGTGTGTTCAAAGCAAGGTGAGCATTTTGAGGGAGATTAATGATAATGTGTCTTTTACTATAACAAATATTTTAAAAAATGTAAACATTCACCATAAGTTTTGATCATACTTTGCAAATGCACACAGTATAATATTTTGATTAATATATATTATGTAATGATGAAATGAAGGCAATTGGCATATCCAGTACTTCTAATATTTATCATTTATTTGTGTTAGGAACATTCAAAGTTCTCTCTTATAGCTATTCTGAAATACACAGGACTCAGGGTATGGCTCAGAGGTAGAGCGCTTGCCCAGTATGTGTGAAGATCTAGGTTCAACCCCAGCGACAGACACACACACACACACACACACACACACAAATACACAAAAAAAGAAATAGATTATTGTTAACTAGTGCTTAGATAGCATTAAAATTTATTCCTCCTAATTTTGTACCCATTAATGAATCTCTCTCTTTATTCCCTCTCCACCTACCCTTTGCAGCCTCTCTTATACATCTATGAGATCAACATTTTTATCTTTGGTATATGAGTCAGAACATACAGTATTTATCTTTCTGTATCTGACGTATTTCACTTAGTTTAATGTTCTCCAGGCTTGTCCATATTGGCTCATGGGATGGAATTTCAAAGTGGACAGACTAAGTCACACATGTCTTTAAGTTTGCCATATGAACTTGGTGATGGATCACACCAGGAAAACAAGGTGTAGAGTTTGCCTAATGGCTGCTTTTTTATTGCATAGTATATTAATACATTTATAAGAAAATACTGGACCTACTCCATCGTCATCAGTATAGGACCCTCAAGCCAGTGCAATATCCAGCCACATCATGGTTTCAGCTACCCGCTGTCTTCCTGAGAGACAAAAACACATAAAATTTACTAGCATTTTTGGCAAATAATTCTCCATTTTTAAATTTACTGATAACTAAATATGTATAGAGATCAGACCATTTGCAGTGTCTCCTTAGCTCTAAAGAGTAAACATGAAAGAAAGAAAAGAATATATGAGAAACTTCAAAGTTTAAACCTGAGATGAATTGGCTCTTTCATATTAGCTTTTTTTTTCAGATGTCTTACCTTTAATGAACTATATTTAACATTTTACAAATCTTTAGACTGTTACAGTTTTCAGCAGTAAATACAGAAAGAGTGGCAATAAATAAACTAAAATATGAGATTTTTCCACAGAACGAATACAAAGGATAGAAACACTTGGAAACAAGAGGGCAAAATGTAAACTCTAGATCTGAAATGGAAATTAATACAGTCAAATTCCATTATGATGTCAATGCATGGAGAAATGAGTAACTCATACTTTATAAATGAATGTATAACTTCGAGGTTCACCTTTCTGGGAAGTTTTGTGGGGCATTATGTGACCCACAGATCTGTAAAACCCTATACTGTGTATAGATAACCAGAGGATTCGAACACTTGGAAAGAGATCTGAAAGTGATTGCCAAAGAAAGTAAGTTCTTTTCTTCTTCAACATTTGTGATCTTCATGGTACACTGTGTATTATAAAAGGGCATCATCCCCATACAACTGCATAAAGTCATAAAAATTGATTTTATAAAGTCTCAAGATCATATGTATTCAAAAATACATACAGCTGTGTTTTAGTAAATGAATCCATCAGTTACATGAGCGATATTTTGCCTGTAAGATATATCCAGAGTATGTACAAAGATCCACAAATGTTAACAATTTGTAACCAAAATTGTCTAGATTTATACTTGCAGAAAAACTGTTGGTTTTCAATTTAAAAACTTAAGAAAGTAGTAACTGTCATTGGTTTATTATCATTGGATTAAGAAAAAGTAGATGGCTTCAGCGTTTATTAACAGGAAATTTGTGGACTGCTTACAAATGAGAAGTCACACTCTTTTGATCATTAGAAAAGTTAAATTGCCTAAAATTTCCAATCTCAAACAGCATGTGCAGTGAAAAAGGAGGAGAACGAAGATGAAGAGAGGGAGGAATAATAAAAGTCAGGGGGGAAATAATAAACTTTTTTTTTTCTGAAACCAAACAAGAAGTTCTAGAAAAGCCCTTGGAGCCTATCATCTCTTTCCATTGCACCAGAGTGAAAAAGTAAGCTACACATCTGGAAGGTACAGCTACATACCAATATATGTATTTCATTTCCAAGCTGAGAGATGAAACATTTTTAAAGATGAGAAATACACACTTAAAATATTGAGGAGGTGCAACATTTTGCTATATAGTTTCTAACCTCATTCCAATTTATCAATATGTGCTGAATTTACAAAAAAGATTAAACACAAAAAGAACAGTTACTTACATGCAAAATTCTTTGTTCCAACATGAAACACTAGGTCCATATTTTTTAATAAAAACTGCACATCTATTTAATTTGACTAAGAGAGAAAATGTACATTTAAGAAAGATGTTATTGTATCCTTCTAATAATGCAAACTGTATCAAAGGCACTTCCATAGAGTACTTAACTCCTCAACCTTTTCCAAATCATCTTTATTCCTCCTGTTTTTAATATATTTCTGTATAAGACCAACAAAAAGCCTCCTTTAAATGTAAACCTTAACACTACTTAAAAAAAAAAAAGCAGGGGCCAGGGATTTAGCTCAGTGGTTCCACTGCCTGCCTCGCAAGCACAAGGACTGGAGTTCTATCCCTGGTACCAAAAAAAAAAAAAAAAAGCAAGTCCATGTTGACCCAAAATGTTTATCTCTTCTGTGGGTTAGGGTAATCATAGCAAATTATGCAAGTGCCTGTCTTTAAGTTCTTTGGGTTAACACAAAAAGGTAGGAGTTATCTGACCAATTAGATGTTTCAGAAGTGATTACAAGGAAATATTGGCAGAAGTCTACTATCTCAAGGGGAAAAGATGCTTACTTCCATTGTACAGCTATCTACAATTTGACTAAAGCTAATTTTGGTTGTTTCAACTTGTTTAGGTGGCTTGAGTTTCTATGTTGCTCCTGTGTTGAATAGTAGGGGATGATTAAAAAGAAAAGCAATTTAGTTTCATTATTTTCCCACCAAGGGAAAGGGAAAGATGTTTCAGACATGTCTTCTTGGAAATTTTTAGGAAAAATGGAGTGGGTTAATTTTAATTTACAAGAGCTTTTATTTTTAGGACATATGAATGACACTTCAGAGTTGAAGATATAATTAAAAACAAATATTGAATGTGTTCACATTGAATTCTTCCCTATGATTAAAAAGATTTTGATATAATGCTTCTAAAACCAAGCAGAAAAAGTTGCAGAGGCTGCAAGTGATATAAGGAAAAAATTTTCTCCTGAAATTGAACCCCTTTTCCTCAAAAATGTCTTTTCCTTTAAAAATGTCAACATTTCTAATTAGTATCCCGAAAACATTTCTGATCCTCAGAAAAATGGCTTTTTTCTTCTCATTGAGGTGAAACATTTATTTCCTTTATCTTTACATATCTTGTTAACTTTTTGACGTTCATAAACAACTCTCATATCATCTTTAAAATCAAATTTGCTGGGCCAGGGATTTAGCTCAGTGGTTTCGCCGCCTGCTGTGCAAGCACAAGGACCTGAGTTCAGTCCCCAGCACCAAAAAAAAATCAAGTTTGCTGGCTTTTAAGTGACTAAGGTTGGGTTTTTGGAGTATGTCAAAACTGATTTTAACTTATGCATATCATAGTTTCGTCTTGTGCTGTTTCGTTTTTTGAATTGGTAAAAAAAAAATTTCCTTGATAGCTAAGGTCACTTAATCTTTGATGAGAGGAAAAAGAAAAGATTAACAATAAAAATCCAGTATCAGAGTATTCACTTCTCAAATTGCTATATAACAACTTGATTCCTTATTTATTCTGTGAAGGTATAGCCAAAAACAACCCAAGAGCTGATGTCTCTCCATCTAATGACCAAAAAGCCTCTTGCCCACCTTGTATGAGTGTAGGGTTTACTTTAGGGTGATACAACACACATGCTATTTATCTCAAACAAAGAAAGTGTTACTTGGTCTTTAAACTCTAGGATAACACCAGTCCAAACTTTGATCAGGTTGTTTTTAAGCATAGGCAGAGGAGGATGTAACAGTAACATTTCACGTGGACAAGGCCAAGAGAAGAGTTTCATTTCTCAGTGTCCCTCGGGGTAGTCATCAAGGCAGAGACAGCATCTGGGGGAGCAACTTTGGGAGCACACATTTCACTGTCTCACTCGTAGAAGAGTCAGTACCAAATTCGCAAATGGGTAACGAACATCTCAACACTATTTTACAGTTTGAAAATTTAGATACTTTAAATTCATCACTCAAAACATAAATGAAAAGAATAGGCCAGAAAAAGCATCTGCCTGAGACATGTCCTGGGACCCTAAAACGGCTCAGTCCCAATTTCTTAAGAAGTTCATACTGAGATTCACAACAAGAAGCAAGAATACAAGCAAAAGAGGCAGGGACACACCCAGCTCTGGAGCTAATTCATGGAGATCAGTGGACGTTCCTCTAGCTTCTTCCAGATGTTAGTCTTGCTGTCTCTTTTGGCTAGGGGTGGTCTGGCCCTCTTTCTCGTGGGGGAAGTATTGGCTTCAAAATCTTCAACAGTGCTTTTTCTTCCAGGGGACTCTTCCTCGGGTTGCTCCATGATAACTCTGCTCCCTCCTTTCAAGACGTGCCTTAAAACGGGGTCCTCCAGAGAACAGACAGTGGTCCCACTCTCGCTGCTGCTCAGGTCTAAATCTTCTAAGTACAGGATCTTGGGCTGATGCATGCTTTTGATGAATGTTTTCTCCCTCTCAAGCTTCAGGGTTGAGTGATGCTCATTCATGTCCACCCCAGAGTCTAGACTTGTGTCATTGTTCTGGGTTCTCTTGCCCTTTTTCAGGTCTATGAAGGAGTGCCTCACCTGTGTGACTGGCTTTCCATCAAGAGACACAAACCAAGCTCTGGGGTGAGGGGAAGGCTTTCCTTTGGACAGCTCCAGGAGGGTCTGTTCTGAAATTCCTTGAAGTTCTGATGAAAATGGAGTCATTACAATGGCTTCATTCAGTGTCCTGGGAACAGAGACGGATTCCAGTAAGCTGTTGGAATACCGGCTCCAATCTGAAGTCTGGGATGGCAAGCTCTGCTGACCTTCCAGGACGATGTCCTCCTCCCTGGCATCTGGGGGCTGGGTGTGAGAATGCATTGGCATTTTGGGCAGTGTCTGTGTAAAGTTCTCTCTGTTCACTGGCTCCATCAGTTGGCCATAGACTAACTGTCCTTTTCTTGGCAGAGTAGCTGACTTCACAGTATGTAATTGCTCTGGAGTGGAGAAAAGGTCAGATGTTTGAAGGATGGCAATGGGCTGGCTGTAGATATGCATGAGCTGCTCTGGAATCTGGGAACACCCATACCTCTCCTCATTCCCTGTGAAATACCGCTTCTCCTCAAGAGCGTCCCCTAATGAGGAAGACAGGTTGCTGTTGATGTGCTTAGGTTGTTTGGTCCCCATATTGGGCTCCAAAGACTGTGTTGGTCTTCTTGAGTAACTATTTGGACTGACTGGTAGAAATGAAACATCTTCATTGTAGATTTTAAAATTATCCCAAGTTTTTACCATGGAAACTCTTTCTTCTGGTTCTCCTTTTGATAGCTCCTTCTTTTGAGGGCTGTATGAGGAGTTATGGGCATTGAATAACTGTGACTTGTCCTCAGACTTTAATGCAACTTTGACTAACTAATGTGATTAATGTGTGTTGTTGAAGTTGTCCGGTCTCTCTTGAGGACTTCGAGTTTAGTGATATTTCTTTCTCTTTTTGGTGGAGTACCACACTTGTCCCTGCAATAACAAAGGAGTACAGCAAAAAATCCAATGATGATGACTATTGTTCCTCCTAATATGGCTGTAAGAAACACTGTGTGGTAGGCTGTTATGTCCTTGGAATCTTCACTTATACCTGAACCTCTAGTTCCTGGAAGTGGAGCTGCAACCCAGTAGCCCAAATGTGGGGCATCATAAGTCCAAATTAAATGATTATTATGTTCTTTGATCACTCCTCGGCCAGAATTCACCCAAGCACTCGTGTTCATGTCGAACGTCCAAGCAGGAATGCGATCCCCGGCACTTAGATGATTCGCGCTCAGAAGAGGGAGAGATACTTGGGCGGAACCACCCACTTTTAATTCTTTTCCTCCAGAATATATTTTCACACATATCGCAGCGAGAGGAGTCAATTCAGTGTTTTCAAAACCTGGATTATTGAGAGTGATTCTGGTTGTATACTGAAAATTGTTCACTTTCAGAAACTGCTGCAGCACTGTAAGGTAGCCAGTGACATTACTAATGTGATGGTTGTCCGGAAGTTTAATTAAAGCTTTTGAAAACTGAACACTTGGTTGAGATTTGGCATCAGCTAATTTCCCAGAAATCAAAACAGTGTCTTCAAATAGCCATATATTTGCTTGGCTTTGCGGGAACAGTGAAAGTGTAACTGATGAATATATGGGCATTCTTGCAGTCCTCCATGGCAGTGAGGTCAACACGTAGCCGTCTTTATAAGCAATAATGGTTAAGCCGAGTCCTAACTTGTAGGATACTTTTATCAACACTGCGCCATTGCTCTTAGTCACCGTGGAATTTGTCTTCGTGTAGTTTACAAGTACTTCTACAACTGCTTGACTCAGGTACTGACGACTGATGATGTCATTCACCTGGACTTTCAGCACAAATACAGACACTGGCCCCGGCGGGGTGGCGGACGCCCCGGGCGCCCCCGGCCGCTGGACCTCCGCCTCCGCGCGCTGCTTCTGCTGCTGCTGCCTGGTGAGGCTGTGGTCGAAGCGGCCGAGCTCAGCGGCCGCATGGCGCAGGGCGCGCGTGCTCCGGGCCTCGCCCTGGCCAAGCGCCTCAGGGCCGTGGGGCATATTGCGGGCCAGGCTCCTGGCTCCGCAGTGTGCCTCGCGCTCGCTCCACGCCCCACATTAGCTTTTATACTTGCTTAACATTGAAAGAATTGAAACTGTCAAATTCAGCCTTTTTTTTTTTTTTTTTTTTTTTTTTTTTTTTTTTTTTTTTTTTACTTACTGGAGTTTTGGGCTTCATTGTCTTTTTCAGGATATCTTTGAGAATATTTTGTAACACTAGGCTTGTGGTCATGAATTTCATTTTCATTTTCTAGGATATTTTTAGAATAGTTTGGAGTGCTGGTTTGGTGCTTATGAAATCTCTCAGGTGTTCTTTGTTGTGGAAGTATTTCCCCCATCGATTTTGAAAGATAATTTTTCAGGATACAACAGTCTAGGTTGGAAGTTATTTTCTTTTAGGACTTGAAATACTTGGCTCCAGGCTCTCCTTGATTTGAGGTTTCGTGTTGAGAAGTCTGCTGTGATTCTGATGGGCTTTCCTTTGCATGTGATTTGTTTCTTTTCTCCAACTGCCTGTAGGATTTTGTTCTTTTGAGTTTCTGGGATCTTGACTATTATATGTCTAGGTTTAGATTGTTTTTGATCATGGCTAGTTGGAGCTCTATATGCCTCACTTATCTGTATGTCAAATTCTCTACCTCTGTCTGGGAAGTTTTCTACTATTACTTCTGTGAACATTTTTTTTTATGTCAATTGTACTTTCTCCTGTTTTTTCATGGATTCATCAGTCTTATATTATTCTTCTTTGCATCATCTAGCAGCTACTTGATTGACTTCTCATGATCCCTTACTATTTTGAAGAAATCTGTTTTCATGGTCATTAACCACAATCCTGTCTTCTATATCTGATATTCTATCTCCACATTCCCTTAATCTGCTGTGCATACTTTCAGTGGAGTTTTTAATCTCCTCAATATCTGTTTGAATCTGTTTCATGGTTTCCATTTCTTTCTTATGCTGGGCATTTATGGCTTCCAGCATGACCCTTGTGTACTTAGAAAATGGGAAGATCAGGCAATGGTGCCTTTTGCCCAGAGCACAGGTTGCTCTGCACATAGGACTAGGTCCATAGGGAAGGGGTAGAGAGAAGGGCTTGACAGGAGGAGGAGGAAGGCTGTTTTAGAGATAGAATTTTTTTATCCTCTTTCCAAATAGCTCATACATTACTTGAGGCTGCTCTTCCTTCCAGGGTCTATATTTGGATCTGAGTCTCTATGGCTATGCAACAGCCTCTCTCTGAGCTGAGAGCATGATTGAGGGAAATGTGTCTGGGCAGCTGTGTTCACAGAGTCCTGAAGAGAAAATTATAGGGTTGTAGGGTGTGTAGGCAGCTTGAAGAGTCACAGGATCTTTGAGTCTTGATGGTCTGATCTCTGGAAGAGGACATCTTTACAGTGTGGACAGGTCAGCTAACACTAAGAGGGAATAGAGCCAATAAAGCAGATGGGCAATTAACAATATATGTTATGTTAGTATCAAATGATGCTTATGTTTAGTCTTTTAGTATACACAAGAATTCTTGAAACAGCATCAGCTATGTACTCTCCAGAGAATTTCATGAGCTGTTCCAAAGAATAACATCTATTTTCTCATTTCAAAAGTTCGGGACTTTAAATTTTAAGAAAGGAGAACCAAAAACAAGACAGATATTTATACCCTTTACATATTTTCTGTTTTCTGAACTGCAGATGGAGACTTATCAAGAGTGATGGGAGACTGGGACCTTGGTTTCATCCTATCAGTTATGGCATTGTGGAATTTTCTACCTGTGGCATCCATACCTCTATATCCATCACTTGGAAGCAACTCTAATTTTCAAGATAGGAAATACAGGCTCTGTCTAAGATGAAAAGAAAGTTGCACCAGGGAATGTGTGTTTGGAGTCATGGATTTTGAGATTTAGGAACACAGACATACAACTTTGTTATGTTTCAGTCATAACAATGCACACATGCATACTTGTGTGCACATTAAAATGCATGCATGTACTACAACGAAGCAATTATTTTACCCTGCTTCTTCCCTCAAACTGCACATTTTGTATATATTTTGAAAACAGTATTGTGCTGCCAAAATTCTCTCCTTGGACAAATACAGGCTCATTTCAACCCACTTTTTGACAACATCTCATCCTTGGGTCCTACCCTCAGCGTGTTGGAGCAAGCTTTGGCACAGAGCCTTGCTAATTTTATCACACTTTCTTTGATATCTGATCATTCTTGATACATTATCCAGTTCTTCATCCTCTGACCTTGTTACATTAGCTTGCTTTTAGGAAGAATCCTGTTACATCAATTCAACAAGAATTCCTTTACCCTCTTGCTTTATCTGTGACTGAAAAATCCACATTTATCATTTTATTTGAAATTGATCTTAGTTGTATACTGAAGTCTTTCTCCTTATTTCAATAATACTGCATGAAATGTCTTTACTGCTTTTAATTAGTGTCTGACCCTGTTTCTCTTTGAAATATATGTCTTTTTCTGTTGATCCACTAATAAACTTACCGTCTTTAAGTTACTATTCTGGTAATTGTACTGATTTATAACATTTAAAAATAAGGATATATATATATATATTTATATTTATACAATTAAATTATCTCAGCCCGAGGATTTAGCTCAGTGGCACCGCACCTGCCTTGCAAGCACAAGGTCCTGAGTTTGACACCCGGTACCGAAAAAACAAATTATCTTGTCTCTCTCAGCTTCTTGATCCTTATCCTCTCATCCAAAGTTGGCCTCTGTCAGTGTATTGGTACATATTCTCCAAAGGTGCTTATCTGTAGGTAGAGTATTAACTTGTATTTATATATACCAAAATATATATTCACATTCATATATTCTCCAAAATTTTAATCACATGATACATACTCATCTTTACCTTGTTTCTTGTTTAGTATTATTTATCTCTGTTAGTATTTGTACTTCATTACTTCTTGTGGGTTTGGTATGTTAAAATGTGTTTCATGCATGTGTATTTAATGTGAATTCTCATTTGCTGTCATTTTTCCATCTCTTTGTTGTTTAATAAATGTGCTTCATATTTCAAGTATTTCTGCTTTATTACAATATTTAATATGATCAAATATAAATATAATGTATTAAATATACTTTTAAATAACTTCACATGTTTTCATATAAGTTTTACTTTTTGCCAGTTAGAAAATGTTTTTAAATTTCAGTTATATTTTGATTTTTAAAAATATAATTCACTGTAATGGAAATTGAGCTATACACTGGGGAGCATTAAGTGCCAAGACCCCAGATGTTAGAGCCATCAGAGTCCTGGGGCTTCAAGGCCCAATGGGAAATACTTTACAGGGTAATTCCAGATTTAATTACTCTGAAGTTTATAAGGCTGTTAACTCAATGTATGCCCAAATTCTAATAATGTAAGAGGTACAGCTGCTGTGATAAAATGTACCTTAGGTTTTATTTATAGTAATTCTACAATATATTATGTTACTGAAAGTCACCTGTGAGGGTCACAACTGTACTTCTGCCTGAGCCAGGCTCATCTACTCAGATCAACACATCCATATGATGCTTACATGCTGGGCTTTCCTCCCAAGGAATAAGGTTTTACCTTGGAGTAAGTTGATATTCCAAAAGTGATTTTATGAATCTCTTACATGTCTCAATTTCCTAATATTTCTAACAGTACAAGTTAATTTAAAAATAATAAAGATTATGTAATATTATTTATTGGTTTTGAAATAGTGCAGATTTTCAAAGAGGTAGGAAATAATATATTTACTATGAACATGGGTTAAGATATGAAACGTCAGAATCTCCTTTCCCTACTTTGATTGTATTTTTCTTTCTCCCAGAATTAAACATTGCATTTAAATTCTTTTTTATGATTTATACTTTCAGTATCAATGACTATATTCTTAACCTGAATGTATTTTTTGCATAGTTTTAACTCTGCATATTTATCAGAATTCATTATATGAGTGTCCTTGTATCTCTTGTTATTGTCATTTCACTTTGTGCTTCTTAGGTGCTTCTATAGGCTGATTATGGCAGATCTCCATTCATTTTCACCATTGTGTATGATTCCATTGTATGAATGTGCCCCAGTGTATTTTTCAATACCTTATCAATATTGATGGACATTTTCCTCCAACCGATTTATTATCACAAATGCTGTGGTGGTGAATATTCTTCTAATTTGTTTCCTTGTGTTCTCATAGTAGATGATTTTCAGGTTGTATGCCAAGAGTATAATTACTAGGTCATAATGAAGGATCACTTTTGACTTAACCAGATATTTACTAGGTGCTGCTGTATTGCTCTTCAAAGTGCTGTACACTCACCAGTGGTACCAGTCAGTTCCCCTTGCCCAAGTCATGCATCTGAAGGACTGGTTTTCTCCTGGTTCCAAACATAGACCCGGGAGCCACACAAATAGAGATGAGACCCTGGCTTTTTCTCTTTACCTTTCTGATGTGTCAAATAAAATCCTGACCCTATCTCAAGGAAACTTTGTGGTGGTTCAAGTGAGAACATCAGTCAAGACCTCAGTTTGAATAAAAAGCAAAATGAAAGATAGATAATAGGAAATAGGGAGATAGATCTTTCTCAAATGGGAAAACCATCAGAGATGAATGGATGGGGAGGGACAGGAAGGAAGAGGACGAAAAAAGGAATTAAGATGTGTGATGTACATATACCAATTCCACAAAAGGAATGTAAATATTATGTACTGCAAGCATAGTAATAAAAAATTGATGCATCTTCCACAAGGGCATTGTTTGCTTCCTTCTCATCCTATCTCCTCTGATCTTTAATAGAGAAAATATTGGGGGACTATCTTAAGATTTTCTGCACATAAGATCACATTACCTGTACTAGATATAATTTTAGTTTCTCCTTTTCAATGTGGACAATATTTATTTCTTCCTGTTGCCTCATTTTTCTGGCTAAAACTTCCAGTATAATGTTGAACAGCAATGGTGAAAGTGGGCATCCTTCCATTGTTATTGATCATAGAGG